TAATCATTTATTTCAGCAGCAAGCAGTTTTTGTTGCTGTCATGACTCATGAACCTTTTTTTTTTGCCAAACACTACTATAGAAACCTTAATTGGTGCGGTTAGGAACCCCACAAAGGTGGCAGATTTGCCAACCGACATATAGCAGGCGGCACTAATGTGGAGGGGAAATAGATGCTTGTTTAGGAACCGACACATTTGAGGTTCTACGAATAAAATAAAACACTAGCTCGCCATCACCCCTGAAATCATCCCCACCACCCAGAGTCCACAAAGAAGACCAAGTTCATCCACAAAAATCCAGTAGAAACAAAATAGCATTAACATTTGCATGCTCATCCGCAAGTTAACACATCGTATACAACCAATATCGACATTCAGACACAATCAGCATTGGCACATGCACAAGAAAATTCCCAATGCCCAAACTCACCGCAAACTGGGAACTTCGCTGTTGCCCGCACCATCCGCCGTCGGAGGCCATGGTGGGCAGATCTGGCCACACCCGAGCTTGGGCAACTGCATCTGACAGCCGCCGCTCGTGAGGGAGAGGGCACTGCTGCCGTCGGCGCTCGGGGTGGGGAGGAGAGGGAGGAAAGGGTCGCGAGAGAGAGAGAGAGATAAGAGAGTCGCGCAAGACTGAGAGGAGGAAGAGAGTCGTGCAAGAGAGAGGGAGTGGCATGTGCTGCTTACCCTATCCACAAGTGCGACGTTGTCGTGAGTGTTAAGGACAACGCGGTCGGCTCGTCTCTGATTTTTATACAGGTGTCGGTTTTTTAATTAAACGAGATTTTAGATGTTCCGTCACATGTAGTGCCCGCTCTCTATGTATCTTCTGCAGTGGTGTCAATCAAATCACCAATTTGAACGGCACACTAGTACCAGAACACATTTTAACCATGGAAAACCACAAAGAGAAAATCATTCTGACGGGCAAGCATATTAGAGAGACAACAACCGATGATGGTAAAACAATACGCAGATAGAGTCATTCAGTTCTTTATATTAAGGAACATAAACGCTACTTAAACATACTCCCATCCAGACTGCAGTCAACAGATACGCATAACGACATACTATTACATACCTAACTAGTAATACCTATGCTACGCAACATTTCACACCCCAAAGGCTTAAATATAACTCAAACGGCAGGGTTTTTTCTTGCCAAAGGAAGTAGTAAATTTAGTCAGGCGGTTAATCCCACATTACGTATATGACAATCAAGATATATTAGCAAAATATATGAATGTGATATCAATATGTAACATCTTTTTCATGTTGGGCTTAGCATAGTTTGTTATAACCAGGGGATTAAATCAAAAGAGGAAAAGAATTAGAACTTGTAAAAGCCAAATGCACTGGTAGAGGAACAAAACTTAGTGATTCTGCGTAGTAAAATAAAAATAATAATGAAGCCATGGTTCTTATCAACATAATCACAATTAAATAATATTTAAATATACCATGTATAATATATTCAAAGCTTGCTAACCAAGAATATCTAAGACCTCGACTTCTCCTTGAATAGAACTTGACAACCTCGAATCGGACACCACGAATATCTCCCACAGCATGGCCCTTATGCCCAAATCCAGAAATCAACACCTCATCCCAGATAATGAGCATGAAGAAATAAGTATAGGTGACAGAGCAAGCATTTTCTAATAAAGTAACAGGATTAAGAATGTACATTTTCAATTCCTCAATGATGTTCAGGAAACTGTGCTAGCATGCATGGCCAGAAGTCATCAAAATTCAGGATTAAAATAGTAACTGGTCTCAATAATTAGAAATGGACTCGTTTATCATGGAATCAGTTGGGCGTACTGAATTACAATTATGATGGTAACATGCTTAGCTACCCTGGGCAACTTGCTAGGTGAATCACTACCTGATAACCATATGTCTTCTGAATGGTAGCAATCTTTTGAACAAAGCCAAATATATTAAACAAATTCTGTAGGTGCGAGAACAGCATAAATTATCTACTACTGTAAATAATCTATATTACGTACAGTGTAATCATCTATTAATTTGCCGATGATTCATGATCCAGTTACTCCACCAAGAAAAACGTTTAATCAAACAAAAATATATTGGTTCTTATGATTCATGTTTCAGTTAATCCACCAAGAAAAATGCCGCATTGAAAGAATTGATGAATATAGTCAGGAATTATTCTCTAGGTAAGGAGCATCAATGTTGTTGTCACTGGAAAATGCTTAAACTGATCGCACAGGAATGGGCTGAAGGAGAAAGTACCTTGATTTCCTTGAACATGGCCTTTGTAGCATATGATAAACTCGTCAGTTATCCGGATGAATGGAATAATGCAACAGAATGAAAGGAGATTGAATAGCGCAAGCAGCAACTGCGACGAACATTTTACTTTCACCTGACTACTCGCACGAAGGCTGCCTGGAAGAAATGCAGGGAGCTTCCTCAATTGATCCACCATCAAGGAAAAGCACTAGAAAAATCATTGCAGGCACATAAAAAGTAGCACCATTAACTTTTCAGCACAAAATTATATAGCCTCGATATCTCAATTTTTACAGCTCATCCATAGCAGAAATTTTGTTTATGCTAATCTTATTATCTAAAGCTGGCGGTTATCGCCGCAAGCTAATTGGTTCATTTTACCCCATTTAATTTTACGCCACGTGTCCATGAAGCATTCGGCAAACCATCGAGTGTCTCGTGCATGTATTGCTGTCTTCGTGCGGCAGAAAACAAAAATAACAGCAGCTTCTGGATGTCGTCTCACCTCACGTCCCTGCTATTTGGGATATACTCCTACAAAAGAATTCGTATAACATATTACCTACATTATAATTAGTAATTTGGCTCTATATTTTATATATGGAGTGCATATATAGTATTAAGCTATCTATCTAAAATACTGTGTCTAGCATATATGTCTACCAATTAATAGACGTACGTATCCTCTCTCCTCTCACTCACCTCCACATCAAAAAATATACTATGTGGCATTCTCTCCTACACGGTGATCCTACCATTATTCATGCCCTTAGTGCTAAGTGTGATTGGTTAAAACTGGAAACATGTAACTTAACCATGTTAATATCCTATATTATAGAAAAGATTAAACAATATTTTAACAAAAGGTAAAACAATCGATAGCAAGAAATAAAAAATATTTTATTTTAATTTTGCTAATTCTAACAGCTTATATACAAAATTTTAAAATTACAAACGTGAGACTAAATTCACCGTTTTGTTTGCGTATACTGTCACGCTATAATTCTCCGTAGGAATTATACAAACATAAAACCAAGTACATATTGAATGATATTTTTTCAATATATGATATTTACATAGATTTTATTAGTATTAAAGTAATTACTCTAAAAGGTATACATGTGCCCTAGGGGAAAAAATCACAGGATAAATTATCCAGCGCGCTAATAGGCGCGCCGATTTTCTAGTATAATGAAAAATATGGACATGCTTTGTTGTTCAAAGGGCATAAAAGATTTTTACTGCCAAACTATGAAAAGGTTTCTATTATGAACTTTATTTAAATTTGAAGCATCTAAACTCTATATATGTATACAGGCAGAAAAATGCACTCAAATTATTCTTGATCAGAAAGCATCACGTGAGCAATAGCTCTGCTAAATATGCCATCTTACTCGTAAACAACTGAACTGGGGGAGGAGCGGCAGCACCAGCCAAGTGGCGACGGCAACAGGTGGTGACGGCAGGGCAGTGCGTAGGGACCTTCAGTAACCTGTGGCAACCACCACAGATCTCGTGCGTTTGCAGAGGGGATCGTGCATGGAGGAAGTTGATGATGGCGGCAGGGGCACTGATTTTTACTGAAAATTTATGTCTCTTTTAACAATTTTTGCTGATCATCTCTCTTGTGTATACCAGATCTGCTGCCTAGACAGTTAGTTATTCATCTTGGTGCATCTGGCCGGATCCTTATATTGGTTTAATTAAAAAAACTTTCAGGAGAACATAGGGAACCTATCAGGGTTTTTTCATCATCCGTGCATACTGACGTTGTCACGATCAGAGCAAACCTCTTGCTATTGTGCGGTTTGCATTTATGAGATATAAACATGTATCAACACAATCAATGCAGACTAAATTGGAGGGTTTTTTTGTTGAGAAATTCCTCATAGAAATTAGTTGACCTAACACACTTGGTGGCGGCCACTTAGAACCATCCTACCATCAACAACAAAATGTTTGACGAACAGCATTGGCGGTTGTTTATGCGGCACTCAATCGAACATATCATGTGCATGGGCAAAATAGTTTGCTCGTTCATCGTAGTCAAAATCAAATAGTAGGCAAAAGAAACATAATGAACCGGGAGGAAGAAGAAACTGAAACCGAACAGCAGAAGCAAACTTGCCGTAGAGCTATGGAGACCGGATGTGAGGGCCGGAGGTGATAGGGATGTCTGGGTGAGGCGGCACGACAGTGAACCGATGAAGTCCTGGCGGAGAGCGGACGGCGATGGGATCGACGACAACTTCATGCGGTGCGACGGAGACCGGCGGGGATGGCACTAGGACGAGTTGGCGCGGTGAGCAGAGGAGGCAGATGGGGCGAATCGGGCAATGTGCGGAGGAATGTTCCGAAGGAAAAGGGGATGCGATCGATTTGCGTGTGCAGAAGGAAATCGACAATCAAGCAATCACGTGTGTGATTTTCCATTAGTGACCCCGTGTGCGCGATTTGAGAGAGAGGAGGGGAGAGGGGGACTGTGGGAGCCGATTTTTGGTCGTTGGATTTGATGAATAAGGTTTCTATAGGACTGCAGTTGCTCAAATAGATTAAACATATCCCAAGCTTATGGATAAGAGATTACTAATTTTTTTTAGAGAAGAGTATTTTTCTACCTGGCATCTACATCCAACCGGATATGTGCAATATTTTTAAATTAGGAACTTAACTTGTCAAATAGGGAACTTAGTCCTCATATGGAGATTAGAACTCAGGATCTTAAGGTGCTACTTAAGTCACTGCAACCACTAGGCTATATTTCTTTTCACATCAGAGATTATTGATAACAAACAGAACCTGGTAATTTATTACGCGTCCACCAATTAATAAACCCTAATTAACCAAACTTAATCTAGAATATGTAGATAGGGTATTAATAAACCCTAATTAACCAAACTTAATCTAGAATACGTAGATAGGGTAGTATAATGATCTTCTCTCCGCGCATGCAGGCGCGGTTGCCGGCAGCCCGAGAGCTCCCGTCCGTACGCCGCCGGTGGTCACGCCCTCCAGCGGCGCGGCCGTGTATTTGCCTGCGCGACAGTGACGTTGCGGCCGCCGATGTCCTGGCCGTTCATGCCCTGGATGGCGGCGTTCACCGACTCGCTGTCCTCGAAGTTGACGAACCCGAACCCGCGTGACCTCCCCATCACACTGTCCCAAGCGATCTGCAACCAAAAAGCCATCAGATAATAATAGATCATCTACTAGTTCACTAAGATTTCACGATTAGTTGTAGATCTGCAAATTTGAAAAAACGAACAGTGCATAGCGATCGATCAACCAAGTAGTGTGTGTGTGGAGATCAATTTGTGAAGGGATTTGTGAACAGATCGATGGAATGGATAGCCAATCAATATAAAAAAGATCAACGAAAACCCAGCCAAGATTTACAAAAAACTATATATCCACTGTAGAGGCGCTAAACTTGGGATGAACAGGCGAGACAAACCGATCGGAACGCTCGATCGACAGTTCGACACACACACAAAAAAAAGAAAAGAAATCCGTCAAACTTAGCGAAGAACAAACGACAACACAACCCACCCGGAACAGAACGGAAACGGAAGCAGGAGCGGCGAGGAAAGGGTTGGATACAGCGGAGCAAGAGCAAACCCACCTCGGCGCTGATGGCGCCGTAATTGGCGAAGGAGTCCTTGAGGGAGCGGTCGTTGGCGGAGAACGGCAGGTTGCCGACGTACACGCGGTACTCCAGCGGGGAGCGGTCCTTGTAGTCGGAGTCCCTCCACGGCGCCGCCATATCCTTCCCTTGCCTTCCTCTCTAAACCCTAATTAACTAAACCTTCGAGAGAGAGAAGCTAGAGAGCTTGGACTTGACGAAACACGACAATGACAATCCCAGGTCTATATAGATCTATTCTCATGGGCTCTTGGGTTTCCGCTACCGTCCGGCCGTCCGGGCCGCGCATGCCAGATGAAGAATAAGTTCATTTTAGGTCTCCTAACTTTACAGTGACTTTGATTTTGATTCTTGAAACGAAATAACAGATACAAGGATCCCTTAACTTAGCATAGTACTCCAATGCACCCGCTCAGAGCTCCGTGCTTCAGCAAATACGTTCGATGTTAGCCGCATTTTATTACGTTGTAAGACGTTTTGACTTTGGTAAAACTCAAACTGTTTTAACTTTAACAAAGTTTATATACAAATATAGTAATAATTATAATATTAAATTAGTTTTATCAAATCAATAATTAAATATATTTTTAGAATAAATTTGTCTTAGGTTGAAAATGTTACTACTTTTTTCTACAAATTTGGTCAAATTTAAAACAATTTGACTTTGAACAAAGTCAAAACGTCTTATAACCTAAAACGGAGGGAGTACCTTTCATAGATCAACATATCCAGTGGCCATTTTTTTTTCCCGAGCTTAGACCCTGCTTAGATTGGACTAAAACTTTTAAGTCCCTATCACATCGGATGTTTGGACACTAATTATAAATATTAAACGTAGACTATTAATAAAACACATCCATAATCTTGGACTAATTCGCGAGACGAATCTATTGAGTCTAATTAATCCATGATTAGCCTATGTGATGCTACAATAAACATTCTCTAATTATGGATTAATTAAGCTTAAAAAATTTGTCTTGCGAATTAGCTTTCATTTATGTAATTAGTTTTGTAAGTAGTCTATATTTAATACTCTAAATTAGTGTCTAAATACAAGGACTAAAGTTAAGTCCCTGATCCAAACACCACCTAAGACTTACATAAACCGGCAATGAGATCGAGGGCCTATTTGAGGGAGCTTCTAGCAGCTGCAGCTTCTCTTAGAATCTCCAGTTGCCAGAAGCTCTCCAAACAGTCCAGCTTTTTACCTAGATTTTGAGAATATGTAGTTATAGAATCTGGAAAATGAACTAGAAGCCATAAGCTGGGTTTCCCAGCTTCTCCAGATTCTCAACATCTCAGAATCTTAAGCTCCCCAAACATGCCCCAAATTAATTTTAGGCTTCTACCATTTTTTTTCTTGATTTTAGTTCTAGACTTTTACTGCTAACGATAAAAAAAAGAGAAGACAATGTAATACAGTAGTTGTTTTGCTTCTCAAACTTGCCATAACCCCCTCCCCCCCCCCCAAAGGTAGATAATGAAGGTTTAGAGGGAAAAAAAAACTTACTACAAATGTTTTCGTACCGTTTAGACTGCTAATAATTGGAACAAACCCTCAACGTTCATGCGTGCAACCTCCTCACTTTTAAGGTCTTGTTTAGTTAGAGAAAATAAAATTTTTGGATGTCATATCAGAAGTTTGACCGGATGTTAGTAAGGGTTTTCGGACACGAATGAAAAATTTAATTTCATAACTCGCTTAGAAACCACGAGACAAATTTATTAAGCCTAATTAATCTGTCACTAGCATATATGGGTTATTATAACATTTATGGCTAATCATATACTAATTAGGCTTGAGATTTATCTCACGATTTCTATATAAACTCTGCAATTAGTTTTTCTTTTTATCTTCTTATTTGCCATCGATAACACATACAGTCGGCATGAGGGTCACATGCAGGCCACAGACGGGCAGACGAACAGAGATTCGATTCTGCAGGAGGAAGCCAACCTCCTGGGCCTTCTGGCAAAAAGACGACGCCGAGCTCGGTGTGTTGGCACATCTGCGTTTGTAATTGAAAACGTACATATGTCCTCCAATCCTTATCCAACCTGACACACAGTAACTATGGAGCGGTCTCAACATCTAGGGGTGGGCAAAATAAGACCGAACGAAAAAACCGAACCGAAAAGACCGAGACCGAAACCGAAAAGACCGAGACCGAGAAATTTGGGTAGTAATTCGGTCTCAGCATGTCAAAGACCGAAAGTTGTTCGGGTAATTCGGTTATTGGGATCGGTTAACCGAATTAACCGAGAAAACCGAATTGTGGCCTAATAGGTCCAGGAGGCCCAATAGGCCCAATACACCACTAAACCCTAAAGACAACCCGTAGGCTGCATCCCCATCCATCCAGCCATCGCGCCACCCTCCCTTCCATCCCCATCCCCATCGCGCCGCCCTCCCTTCCATCCCGCGTGAGCACGCCTCCTCCGCCTCCATCGCGTCGCGCTGCCGTCGCCGCCTCCATTGCACCGCGTCGCGCCGCGCCGCCGCCTCCACATCGTCGGCGCCGTCTGCGCCCTCCGCCTCCACGCCGCCTCGCCGGTCGCGCCGGGCCACCGGATTCATCACGCCGCACCACCACCTCCGCCCTTCGCCCTCCACATCGTCGGCGCCATGTCAGCCTTCACGCTGTCTCGCCGGTCGCGCGGGCCGCCGGCAGCCAGATCCATCGCGCCGCGCCGCGCCGCCACCTCCGCCCTCCGCCTCCACATCACCGGCGACGTCTCCGCCCTCCGCCTCCACGCCAGTCGCGTGGGCCGCCGGCCGCCGGATCCATCGGGCCGCACCGCCACCTCCGCCCTCCGCCTCCACATCGCCGGTGTCGTCTCCACCCTTCGCCTCCACGCCGCCTCGCCGGTCACGCGGGCCGCCGGATCCATCAGACCATCACGCTATGCCACCGCCTCCGCCCTCCGCCTCGACATCGCCAGCGTCGTCTCCGCCCTCCGGCTCGGCTCCTCCAAATTCAGTCTGACCGAGACCGAAAAAACCGAGACCGAATTTATCGGTCTTGATTTTTTTGGATGAAATTCGGTCCTGACTTTTCAAAAACCGAATTGACCGAAAAACCGAAGACCGAGATCGAAATTTTCGGGTAGACCAAACGCCCACCCCTATCAACATCAACAGGTTATGGACTTATGGTATCCAGCTGTACATTGTACATATCTCAGGTTGTATACGTTCCTGAATAAAATTTATTTTTAAGTAATCATTATTTTGGAGTTTATAAAAGCAAGAAGAAACAATTATATCCGTACTAAAAATGAGATATAATTGTATTGATTTTTGTATTGGTATGTACATACGGAGTAGTATGTAATTAGTGAAAAACAAACTTATTTTATTTCGGAACCGAGGGAGTAAAGCTGCCATCGTGAGTTCGACAGCGAATCTTCCATATCGTCATGACGTTCTTCTTTTGCATGCCAAGCCAATCAGCTCACCAATTTGACGGGCACACTAGTAGTGCCAGTACACATTTTGACCATGGGTCCATGGCATCGCAAACCGCAAAGCAACAACCACTCTGACGTGGCAGCAGATAGAGTCATTCTTAACATAAACGCTAGCCATCAAACTTACACACACTCAGGTACGTGCTGCAGAGTGCAGACTGCAATTGATGATTACAAGCATAAACACACACCTAATTAAACAACATATCCTAATAAGGCCCTAAGCTTGCATATCCAGGAGATTACCAACAGAGACTGATTAATTAATTAAGCATCCACCGCTTAAACCCTAATTAACCAAACTACCAACACGACGAATGACTAAAACTAGCTAGTAGATCTGCAGCATAGATAGCTTAGGGTAGGTAGGTAGGTAGAGTCTTCTCCGCTCATTCAGGTCGACCTCCTCGCCGCCGGCCGGCCGTCCGCCGGCGGCGCGGTCACGCCCTCCAGCGGCGGGGGCGCATCTGGGCCCGCGCGACGGTGACCTTGCGGCCGCCGATGTCCTGGCCGTTCATGCCGTGGATGGCGGCGTTCACCGACTCGTTGTCCTCGAAGTTGACGAACCCGAACCCGCGTGGCCTCCCCATCTCACTGTCCCAAGCGATCTGCAACCCAAAACAATTAACACACCAAATCACCAGATCAATTCATAAAGATTTCACAATTAGTTGCAGATTTACAAGGACGGACGGCCAAAACGTTAAAACGTGCATATATAATACAGTGATGAACCAAAACAGATGGATAGCAAATACACCCATCAATATAAAAGAAATCAATGGAAACCCAACCCCCATCCAAAATCTCTACAAAGCCGACGGGGAAACAACAGCAGCACAGGTCCATCAGAAAAGCTTCCAACTTAATTAGCGAAGCACAAACGACACAACCCAATTAACCGGAAGAGAACGGAAAGGGAAGCAGGAGCAAGAGCAAGGCACCTCGGCACTGATGGCGCCGTAGTCGGCGAAGTAGTCCATGAGGGTTTGCTCGTCGACGGAGTAGGGCAGGTTGCCGACGTACACGCGGTACTCCAGCGAGGAGCGGTCCTTGTACTCCGAGTCCCACCACGGCGCCGCCATAGCCCTTCCCTTCCTTTCCCTCTCTAAACCCTAGTAATCAACACCTCTCTAAACCCTAGTAATAACACCTAATTCTTCTTTGGATGCCAAACGAGAGCTGAGGACTTGACGAGGTCACGAGGAAGACGACCGGAGTGCCTGACCAACCGCATATATATGTATAGGTCCTCCCTGGGTTTCGGCTGCGGGCCGGGCCGGGCCGGGACGGGTGCCGGACGAATGGGTTGGTCAAAAGGCGCTTTCCGCGAAATGGGCCGGTAAAAGATCGGGAAATGGGAACCAAGCTTCAGCACCGATCATGGGAGGAAAAACTTTTTGTGGCTGTGTGCCTGTGTTTTTTAGTTGGTGGTGGGAGCTATGCACACTTAAAACGGATTATCTCATTAACGGGTTATCTCATTAATATCAATATGAATGAGGAAAATGTCAGAATAACTTATATAGTTATGTTTTAAAAAATAAATTAATATGATTTCTGAAAGCAATTTTTTTGTATTTTTTTTTAAAATGCAATGTTTATTAGTTTGCAAACTTGTGTGCGAAAAAGAGAAAAAAAAAAGAGTCTGAGAAAGTAGAGGGAGGAATACAACCTATGACTCTCTTTCTATAAAACCGAGTATATCGCTTCCTCGAGTATTAAAACCGGTGTATTTTCAGCGGCTTTAAGGAGCCCTACTTTGGCTTCGATCACACATTGTACACCAACTTTGGTGTGGAGTGAGCCACTCGTACGTGCCACCGATCACGCATAGAAATATACTGTAGCGTGCAGACCCACATGCAAGGGCACAGACTAACCCACACATTTCTGCAGAAACCCACCATGCCTTCTGGCAAAGACCACGCGAGCTCAGCTTGCCGTTTTGGCACATCTGCACCGTACGTGAAAAAGTAACAACGTGTCCACCATTCTTAGGGTCTGTTTGGTTTACAGAGACTTATTTCAAGTCTCTGTCATATCGGATGTTTAGACACTAATTTAGAGTATTAAACATACACTAATTACAAAACTCATTCCATAATCTTAGACTAATTCGCGAGACGAATCTTTTGAGTCTAATTACGCCATGATTTTGACAATGTGATGCTACAGTAAACTTTTAATAATTATGAATTAATTAGGCTTAAAAAATTCATCTCGCGGATTAGCTCTCATTTATAAAATTAGTTTTTTTACTAGTCTATGTTTAATACTCCAAATTAGAGTCCAAACATCCGATGTGACATGGGCTAAAAAGTTTTAGCCCCATCTAAACACCCCTTTATCCTCCAACCTCCAACACTTTGTACTGGAGCGCTCAACTACTACTACTCGACTCGTGAGCGAATCTCCTTCGTACGGAACACATCATACGGAACACATCTCTCGTGCTCCGCTTTTGGCACCACACCTTCTTCATATTGAAAGGGTCTTTAATTATGTTAAAATATAAGTAAAAATCATCGAATAAATAAAGCCATGAAGTCGAACTTATAGTTTTCTAAATTCACTAAAAAAAATTACTCGAGATTGGTATAAATATGAAATCTTAAGTCTAAACTTAATTTCGTTTGGGAGGAAAGAAAGAAAGAAAAAGACAAATTTCACTAGAATAGAGAATGTATTTCATGCTTATAACTATCTCTAGTAAATTTTTTTATGAATTTATAAAACTTTGAAATTCGGTTTCTACAGATTTTCACTTATTGGAGCGTTTTCATCGCACGCGGGAGAAGACAGCACAGCGGTGTGCTTTCTATGCTGAGGAGGAGTAGGCGAAGGCCTGGCCAGTGCCGCACTCTTAAGCAAGCAGAGGGAGAAGGGAGAGAGAGTGTGTGTGGGTGATTGAGGAAAACATGGGAGAGAGAGAGAGAGTGTGTAGATGTGACTATGTGAAGGGAAAAAAGTTGGGTGAGAATGGGTCTGACTGATTTTTTTTTATAAAAAACTACTAACTGAATTGTCATGTAGGACTAAAACTACTTTGAATTGAGTCGGGAAGTTATTTGTCCTATTTAAATATTCGAGTTTATAGGATACTTCAGTCTAATGTGGACTTTTTCCTTTTATGTGCTTTGTGCTTCTTAATTACTCCCTCTGTTTCATACTATGAGTCATTTTGATTTTTTTTCTTAGTCAAACATTTCTAAGTTTGACTAAGTTTATATGAAAATATAGTAACATCTATCACACCAAATTAGTTTCATTAAATGTAACACTGAATATATTTTGGTACGTTTGTTTTGCGTTGAGAATGTTGCGTTGAAAAAAGTCAGAACGACTTATAATATGAATATTTAATTACACATAAACTATTTGTGTTAAGTGAGTTCTTTATTAGTTAGTGTTTATTATTATGTTTATATATGATAAAATGGTACAACTGAAATTATAAATTACGAAAGTAGTATAAATATGTCAACGAACCTAACGAACTTAACAAATCACCTCGAGAGTCTAGCCGAGCTAGGCCTAGCTCGTTAGAGTTAACAAGCCGAGTTGTGTTGTTAAGATTACGAGCCGAGGTCATTATCCACCTATAATTTCATGATTAACTTCAGTACTTAAATATTTCATCATATTAAATCATCGTATTAAATGAATTTTTATTAAGCTATTTTAGATGGATAAACCTAAGGTGGAAAGATGTAATTAGGAAAAAAAAAGGTCAAATAAACAATATTCAGGATGTGACATCTTCCCCCCTTCCTAACCCTCATCCCCTACCTTAATTTGGCGCAAAAAAAACCTAACTTGTCAGGCTTCCCACTCCTACGACCTAATCCTTACCTTATTGGGTTACTGGTGATCGTCCGAGCTGAAGGAGTGCCTCACGAATTGTGGTTCAATCCAATGGTAGAGGATTCGACGGAAATCCACCACAAATTTACGTGTCTCGTTTAGGTAGGTAGGAAATGTTACTCCCTTGTCCTAAATATAACAACTTCTTACTTTCAAAATTTATTAAAAATATTACTTCTTCCCCTACATCTTCTTCTTAACCAATAAGAAACTTACACCATTAAAAATTTCTACACACTCCATCGTTTTACTTATCGGTAGGACAAGCGAAACGTCATATTTGCAAACCAAAAATAATTATAAATAAAACTTTTATATACGTGTTGTTAGCGATCAGCTATACTTATCTACTCTTCTCAACAAATCATACCATTTTTCCATTTAATTTCACCAACTTTTTAGTACATGGCAATTTAAATGGTACTAAATTCAAAAACTAAATTTAGTACATTTGCCGCTTGCAACGCTAGGTACTGTAGAGCTGCGATAATTTCACTAGATACAAAAGCTTAGATTTAGGGGCGTAAAGTTTTAGCGTGTCACATCGGGTATAATATAGGGTGTCATGGAGGGTTCGAGCACTAATAAAAAAACTAATTACAGAATCCGTGAGTAAACCACGAGACGAATTTATTAAGCCTAATTAATCTATTATTAGCAAATGTTTACTGTAGCACCACATTGTCAAATCTTGGAGCAATTAGGCTTAAAATATTCATTTCGTAAATTAGTCACAACATGTACAATTAGTTATTTTTAAACCTATATTTAATATTTTTATGTGTTCAAACGTTCAATGTGATAGAATAAAAAATTTTAAAATGAGATCTAAATAAGGCCTTGTTTAGTAACAAGAAACACACCCCTGCTCGTGGCGGACAGGCGCGCGGTGGAGTGGGTGGACTCAGCCATCGATCGCCACAAAGCAGGGGGGACCACATGCAAGGCAGAGAGACGGGGCAGGTCAGGTCGTCAGAGTCGATTCTTCATTTGCAGCCTTGCAGCAAGCCACCACCATGTTCTGGGCCGTCTGGCAAAGACCACGCGACCTCCCTGTTTTGGCACGTCTGCATTTTGTACGTGAGAAAGTAACGCTATACTACCATATTTCTCGTGAGCGAATCCTTATGCCTACTTGGTTCTCAAAAACATTATATTGAATCTTTGCGCACATATATAGAGTATTAAAATAGATAAAAAGAAAAACTAATTACATAGTTTGCATGTAAATCGTGAGATAATCTTTTAAGTATCCTAATTAGGCCATAATTAGCTACAAGTGCTACAGTAAATTACATGTGCTAATAACATATTAATTAGGATCAAAAGATTAGTATCGCGATTTCCAGGCAAGTTACGAAACTTCTTCCAACATCAAGTCAAACGTCCCATGTAACACCCAAAATTTTCACCACCAACCAATTACATGGCACATCGTAACCACCGAAGAAAAAGCACCAAGCAAAAAATCACTCGCACCGTCGTACGTGCCAGCCAGTAGAAACAGAGAGAGATCAATAGTTGATGAGACAGATAGCAAACACGTCTTTAATTTAAAGATCATGCATATGGTGCTGCCGACTGCCGTCGACGACAAAAGGATTCATATCCAGGAGGTTACCAACAGAGCCTGACAATTAACCATCCCATCCATCTCTTAAACCCTAGTACATTGACCAAACTACCAACGAGAGATTACCAACAGAGCCTGATAATTAACCACCCATATCTCTTATTAAACCCAAACTACGAAGGAGATTACCAACAGAGCCTCATTGGCATCAATCTCTTAAACCCTACTACATTAATTAACCAAACTACGAACACGAACGCGACTCTGAAACTGAAACTGATAGTAGCACAACTAGTAGCAGTATCTAGATAGGTAGGCTTGAGCGCGTAGTCTTCACGCCGGCGGCTGGTCCGCCGGCGCCGTGCGCTCAGCGGCGGGAGCGCGGCTGGGCCTCCTGGACGATGACGTTGCGGCCGCCGATGTCCTGGCCGTTCATGCCCTTGATGGCGTCGCTCGCCGACTTGCTGTCCTGGAAGCTCACGAACCCGAACCCGCGGGACCTCCCCGTCTCACGGTCCACAGCGATCTGCAACCCAAAACCAGCAACAGCAAGTCACCAAACCAATCTATCTATGTATTGGAGTACGTACTAGCTATAGTTCATGAAGATTAAAGAGATATTTACTGATCTGCATATGAAAACGCACAAAGATGAACCAAGAAATGTGTGTATAAATTGGCCCGGCGAATTGGGCAAATATTAGATGAGATCCCAAGAAAGTGGCGAATCTTCCGAACTAAGAAAAGAAAAAGACGATGTTGGGAATATGGAAATGGGGGCACTTCAGAACAGATGTGACGGATAACGTGTATCAAATCGGCCAATCAAAGCTCGGGAAAGACGAACAAAAATCAACAAAAACGACGCGAAATGGCACTGATCATAGATCCATCACAGAAAATCGTCAAACCTGCAGATGAACAGAAAAGACAGACCGACCGGAACGGGCGGAATAATGGAGCAAGCGCAGACAAATCCACACATACCGAAAAAAAAAACGTCAAGCTTAGCGACGAACAACCGAGACGACCCAACCGGAACGGAAGCAGGAGGAGCGAAGAAGAAGGGAAGGGGCTATATATATACTGACCTCGGAGCTGACGGCGCCGTAGTTGGAGAAGGAGTCCTTGAGGGAGCGCTCGTCGGCGCGGTACGGCAGGTTGCCGACGTACACGCGGCTCTCCTGCCCCTTCGAGTCGGAGCCGGTGCGGCCATTGTAGTCGTTGTCCCACCACGGCGCAGACATATCCTTCCCTTTCCCTTAATTCCCTCTCGAAACCCCAACTCTTCCCTTTTTCTTCGGATGCGAAACGAGCGAGAGAGGAAGTGGAGAGAGATGATCTTGGACGAAAATGGAGAGATGATCCCGGGTATAAATAGGCTGGGAATGGGATACATATCCAACCTGATCTGATCACCACGTACGGCGCAGGTAGATTAGAGAGGTAGGGCCGAATCGATCGGCTTCTTGTTTTGTGAGATATGGCCGATCAGTTTTGGTAGCATTATCGAGTTCTTGGGCTGGGTCATATGGGATGTTTGCTTTGGGCCGTGAAGAATATGTGAGGCAAAGGATTAAGTTCACTTTGAATCCCTCATTTTGTCGCCAAGTCCAAAATTCATCTATGGACTGCAAAACCGGATCCCTCAACTTACAAAATTAGTAACAAGGTCTCCCGTTTTAGCTGTTTTCAACTTACAAAATTAGTAACAAGGTCTCCTGTTTTAGCTGACGTGGCTCTTTTGACTATGTTTTCGTCCCATGTAGTATTGGCGTGGCGTTTACGTGGCAATTCCATCCGGGAAAATCTGTGGGACCCAAATGTAAGTTACACACAAAATAATAATAAATGAGATATTAGGGGGGGTGAGAATAGGGGTGGATAGGCTCGGCTCGGTCTAGCTCGTTAGGATAACGAGCTGGCTCGGCTCGGCTCGTTTGAAAGCTCGAGCCAGCTCGTTAGACTCGTGAGCCAATCCAACAAGACAGCAAGCTCCGGAGGAGGGGACATGTGAGTGCGCCTTCTCCGGCGATGGCGGTGGCGGCGGCTGGCAGCGACGGCGGCGGCGGCCCTAGCGCCGGCTGGGGAAGTGCGGCTGGCGGCGGCGGCGGCGGCCCTAGCGCCTACTGGGGAAGTGCGGCTGGCAGCGGCGGCGGCTAGGGAGGTGTGACGGCAACGGCGGCTCTAGCGGCTTGCAGCGGCGGCGGCGGCCCAAGCGCCTGGCGACCACGTCGGCGCGGTCTCGTACGGCGGAGCGATTCCGATGTGGATGTGCGGTCTCGACTCTCGTCTCGTACTCTCGTGTGGTGCGGCTGCCGCCAGGACTAGGAGTGACCAAGCCAGGACTAGGGTTTTGCTTTTGCTGTTGTATTGGGCTTGGGCCTTTGCTATTGTATTGGGCTGGGCCTTTACGGTTGTCTGATTAAGTCCTGGCTCGTTAAGGCTCGCGAGCCAGCTCGAGCTGGCTCGTTATCCCTAACGAGCTAAAATGCCAGCTCGGCTCGTTAGCAAAATCAAACGAGCCGAGCCGAGTCGAGCCTGTCACAAGTCGAGCGAGCTAATCCACCCCTAGGTGAGAATCTACATGGAATGGAAAAGGCCAACCAATGCCACGCATAGCTATCATCTTTTTCAATGGAGGAATAATATTTGGTCCACTAGGAAGTGATAGAAAAAGCCAAAACCCCCACAAGAACGTGAATAAATGACACAAGCTTAGTCTGTCCAGTTCACACCAAAGGAATCTATGCAAAGATCAATAATTTCTTCTTATTTTAAATGAATATACTATCCGCTTTAAAATATAAGTATTTCTACAACATAAACTTTATAGTACATATCAAATTACAAGCATTTCTAAACACTCATTTTAGTGCGTGTAAATCCAAGCATTTTCAATCAATTGGAAGTTTCCAAATGGAACCTAAGGGTTCATTCCGAACGCTACATTTTCGGAACATAGGGATAGGAAAATGTTGTACTCGAGTGCCTTGGCACCTTTAAATTCTATTGAAAAAAAACACAGAAAATACAAGAATAACCATTTTAATGGAGACAAAGAAAACTGTAGAAATCAGAAAAGAGCGATAGTCATATTAAAAATCATCCAAAATTCATATGATTTGAGGCAATCTTCTAAATTTGAAAGGAATTTGGGAGATTTACTTCCTTGTTTAAAGGACAATATGAATTCTTTCCACACGAATCCAATTCTTTAAAATTCCTTTGTTTTCTTGACTAGGGGTGACAATGGGACAGGCTGGGGTCGGGTTGGATAGGAATGTCGCCCTCGCTCCATGCATTCTCCTCTGCCCCCAGCGCCGCAGAGCTAACTGGGTGGAAAATGTCACCCATCATGTCCTCGCAGTTCACCCCGGTGCTTGAGGGTGAATTAGCGAAATTGGCTGCTACGACGGCTTGGGGCCAGCAACGACTAGTCGATTACTGAAGGCGCAAATGATAGGTCGACGGTTGGAAAGGGCTTCGATGATGGCTAGGGGCGGTGATAATGGGTCAATGGTTGGGGATGACCGGGTGGGGATTTGACGATGAAGACAGCATTTGTCACCCCCAGAAATTCTCGAACCAGAATTTCTAAGCTGAATGTGCATTAAATCCCTGTCCAGGACCAGCCAGGGTACACAAACGACAATTGTTGACATACAGACCCACGTCTTACAAAAATATAAAAGATTACAAATGCAGCGGGAAAGATAAAAGCGAGCTAAACCGGGAAGCTTGACTTCAGCAGCGGGCGACTCCACTCCACAGGCAAACCTTGACGGCAGCGACGAAACCAACCTCTCTGAGACGGCTCCAACTGAGAAGAACTTCAACTCTGGTGTGGGGGAAAAGAGAGCAAGACTGAGTACTACCCACTGTACTCAGCAAGTCATACCGGAAGAGAAGGTATGATGCAGGATATAACCAAAGGAAGCTAGGGGTTCTTTTGCATAAAGCAGGCATTTCAAAGTAGTAGTTGAAAGCAGTAAAACAGCTGTAGTAATTAATCAATATTAACCAATCACTGTCCAACGCTACACCACGTTGCAACAGGCCCAACCAACCACCTGTACTACACCAGTTCAATAAGCTAAACTAGGGGTGAGACTAATCACGGTGAATCTGGTTGATCGCCCATAACCGCGGGCACGGCTATTCGAATAGTTTTACTCTGGCCAGAGATGTACAACTGTACCCACAAGACACGATTCCACACATGTCGCCATGCCCCGAAGTATCACCATGATACTGCAAAGGGGGAAATCGTGACAAGACCCTCCACATAACCCTTCTTCCCTAACCATCCACACCACACTAAGGTTTCACCCCCACCCCTCAAAAGGCAGTGGGCGGTCCCCTCTTGCGCCGCGGTGAATCCGGCCTAGACAACCGAATACCTCGGCGGACCCAACTCCATCACGCCCACCCTCGCCACCGGTGCCTAGGAAAGGGTCGAGCTATACTTCAGATCAAGCAGTTACCCACTCCCGCTTGTGGTAAGCACGGTAAGTCTCCCAGGGTTTCCCGTGAACCGGTCCTTAACTGCCATGGGTGCAACCAGCAAAACCATGCACTCACAGCCCGCCATTCGGAATATTTTAATTAACTGACACCCTTGCGGTGGCACCAATCTAAAGCTATGCCAATAGTCAGAGTCTATGTAATAATGTGATCCCCATTTGTGTCATAGTTGAACTAAGCATGGCTAAGCATTTCCTAAGCCAACATCTAGTCATTTTGATACCCAAGTTATCAATGGCATAAGGTAACCAATATGTGGCTGAGGAATAGGACCCATCCCACATTACATTGTAAAAGAATGCAACATTTAATAGAAATGCGGGATATTGGTAAATTGGGTACAATATGATCAAACGTATTGCATGACTTGCCTTGCTCTCGAACTGATGAGACCTCAACAACGTCTTCGAGAAACTGCGGATCGACGAAACGGCCGAAACCTACGCGACAAACAAAGCACACAAGCAAAACATGCTATAAGACTACTGAAACAGGAAACAAAACCATTTTTAATGGATTCTTTGCATTTTTCTTGATTTACTCAGACTTGAATGGACTTAAACGGAGCTCGGATGAATTACTTATGAATTTTAGGAGATAAACTATGTTTTTACTAATAAAGAAAAAGTCCTTAATTAATTATTGCGCAATAATACCCAGGGCTGACGTCATCCGAGGGGGGGGGGGGGCGGCGCCGATAGGCGGGGCCCACGGGTCAGCGGCTCAAAGGGGAGAGGAAGGGGGCGCCGGCATGTGGGCCCCACGGGCAGTGGCTCAAGGTGGCCGGTCTACCGTGGACCGGGACCACGCGGGTGGTCCACCGTCGGTCCACGGGACCGACGGTCCGGATCGGCCGGGAGGGGCGGACATGGCCGGGAAACCCCCCGATTTGGCCGGCGACGTGGGGGGGGGGAGAGAGAGAGAGAGTGGGGGGGATTCAAATCGAATCCCGCCCATTTGCGGGCGCGCGTGCGGGCGGGAATGGCGGGGAGGGCGGCGACGTGGGGACGCGGAGTGGGGGCGCGGCGTGGAGCGGAGAAGGCGGCGGCGCGGACGGTTTCGGCGGCGGTTGCCGTCGTGGGGCAGGCGGCTGGAGGAAGGGGACGACCTGACAGGTGGGCCCCACCTGTCAGCGTCCCGGAGAGAGGAGAAAGGGGAACGGGCCGGCCCAAAGGAAGGAGGCCGAGCGCGGGAGGGAGTGGGCCGACGGCCCAATAGAGAAAAAAGAAGGAAAAGAAAAAGAAAAAGAAGAAAGGATTTTTCATGGGATTTAAAATTGCACTTTGGTGATTTTTAATTGGTTAAAATTATTTCCAAGGCTCTGAAAATTCCACTAAAAATCTTGTTAATGCATTGGAGCATGGGGAACTCAAGAAAAATTCCACCACGCTATTTCCGATTATTAATTGCATTTATTAACTAGGGATTTAGCTCTAGGTTAATTAAGATAATTTCTTCGGGCAATTTATTTAACCAATTTTTAAAGCAAGAAAAGGGGGGAAACTTCAAGGTGTGACAAACCTACCCCCCTTAAACGGAATCTCGACCTCGAGATTCGGAAGTGCTGGCGAAGAGGTGCGGGTGGGTGGCCTTCAACTCATCTTCTCTTTCCCAAGTGGCCTCTTCTTCTGAGTGATGACTCCACTGAACCTTGCAGAATCTGATTACTTTGTTTCTGGTCCTTCTCTCGCTGGTTTCGAGGATACGAGTCGGCTTCTCCAGATATGTCAGATCTTCCTGAATTTTGATGTGATCCGGACTTGCCTGTTCCTCAGGTCCTCTCAAACATTTCTTCAATTGAGAGACGTGGAACACGTTGTGGATGCCAAGC